AATAAATTAAAATAAGGAGTTTGATATAATAAGTGTTAAAAAATGATTAATTAGAATAATAAGATAGTTTTAATTTAATTAAAAATTTAAAGAAATTGGTGTGAATGCTCGAAGAGCGGATGCGCCAAAGAGGTCTTCCCTTTGTACCATTACTTGCAAGAACTGTTTATTTGTACTCAATTAGCGGACTACATTCTTGTCCACGTGTTTGACTTTTAAGGATATAGAGAGACTTTTGTACCATCACTTTTGAAGTGCCGGTCTTTCGAAGAATTGAATTTTTGTTTTTATTTTTAATTTTTAATTTTTTTTGTTAAGTCTGATAATCTTTCAATCTGTGTCAATACAATTAAGATGTCAAAAGTCTGTAATTTTTCAATCTGTGTCAATACATTTAAGATATCTATCCTACGTGTAAAGAAAAAATTAATTTGTGGTTCATAATTATTATGAGATAGAATTTAAACTATATATTAGTTTTTGGTGATGTTACATTAAATTTGGTTTCACTTGTTTGAATTTATTCACTAAAAAAAATTGAAATTTTAGTATCAAAAATTTAAGGATAAAGTAATTTTTTAGGGACTAAATATATATACATTTTTTTACGAAAAGTATCGCCCTTACATTTTTAGCAATAGAAATTAGACATTAGTAATGAATTATTATCTTTTTAAGACCAAATTCTTTGTCTAAAAAAAAACCCTCTTGAGACTAAATTATTTTGTCCCTAAAAGTGTATTTATTAGTGACATTTTCAAAATTTTGCCACTAAAAGTTTTATTTTTGACTTTTCGGAAGAACCTTTTAGCGATTATCTTCATGATGATAGAAATTGGTTCATAAATGTCTTTTGCAACAAAATTTTCACTTTTAGAGACTAAAAAATTTAGTTTTTAAAACTCTTATATATTGTAGTAGTTGATGCTAGTTGTTCAGATGACAGGGTGACGACTGAGGTAGACGAGAATGAAATCGGTCGTACAGCTAGACGACCAGCATCAACAAATTTGGACAATTTCAGATGACAACAATTCAGTAGATAAATCATTTCACATTAATTTTAAAGAAATGCTTAGAGATCCTAAATGAATTATCAAATATTTATGTATGTGAAACCCATATGTGTTCCATGAATGTGGGTCTCACCCATATAAATATTTAGTAATTCATTTAAGATTATACTAAAGCATTTCTGTTAATTTTATGCATATTTTCCTTCATCTTCGATCAAAGCCTCCTTGAGTTTGGTGATGAACTTCTACTAAATTGGGTTGATGAAAATATTTCGAGTTACGTTACAATATTCTTTTTAAAAGGCAATATTTGAACCTACTAGATTGTATATAACGAGTTACAATAAATTTTCTTTTAGGATACAATGAAACTTCATTTAATAATTTTCTGTCTACATATACAGTGATGATCACGCAATAGAATACCTACAAAAATTATGACCAAGAAGAACCGGTGCTTGATATTATATTTATGTAGTTAAAAAAATCAAAATAAGAGAGCGAGATTGAATTGCACTTACGGTGAAAAAAAAAGGTTACATATTATTATTACTTAATATGTGTGGTCCATAATCATTATTAAGTATGGTAACACTACACTCACAATGAAATTACATTTTGTATGCACTTTTAACTTTTGACGAAGAGAAACTTAAATGGTACGTGTATGTAAAAAAATCACACAAACTGTACAGAGAAATTAATGTGCGGCCGATATTCATTAAGAGTGTAATAGAATAAATTTAGAACATACACTGACTTTTCTGTTTACGTTCTTTCACATTTTAGTTTTTCCAAATTTTTGCAAATAGAAATATCTATGCTACACGCAAAAAGAACAAAAAAAAAAAAGAAAAAAAGAAAAGAAAAAAAGAAATACACAAAAGATTAATGTGTGGTCCATATTTATTATAGTGGAATCACACCAGGGCACACATTAATTTTGTGTGAACTTCTCCTCGCAATTCAAGTTGAAGTCTCTTTAGCATGACTTGGAAAAAGACCGGCATAGAACAGTGGGATGACTTTGAGGATTTAGCAGAATGACAATTTACGTCATTGTTTTTATATTGCAGGTCTTTTCAATAATGCAAATAGTGAGTGTTAAATCTGAAGTTTCTTCTTTCTGTGTCCATACTTAAGCTAAGATAGCATTTTGCAAAAATTCTTAGAATCTTGCAGTCAATATGTTTAAGCCTTTTAGGGTACTTCGCTTGTTTATCCTTCTGTCTGTGTGCATGCCCACTAGCATCATACTAGGTGGAAATGAGACCGATTACTTAGCCATGCTTTCAATCAAGGCTCAAATAACTCGTGATCCAATGCTAGTCACAAGCTCATGGAATGATTCTCACCATTTTTGCCAGTGGGCAGGGGTTTCATGTGGTCGTCACCATCAAAGGGTCACTGCCTTGAATTTAGAGTCCCGCAATTTAGAAGGTTCTATATCTCCTTCCATTGGAAACCTTAGTTTCCTCAGAATCATTAATCTCTCAAACAACAGCTTCCAAGGTGAAATTCCTCGTGAAATGGGCAGATTATTCAGGCTGCAAGTTCTAAACTTGAATGGTAACTTGTTTGGAGGACAAATTCCAGCAAGCCTCTCAAACTGCAGTAACTTGAGGGTCCTTCGTTTAAGCAACAACAAGTTGATAGGAAATCTTCCTAAAGATGCTTTCACTCAATTAGTGCAGCTTCATATGAGCTCCAACAATTTGTTAGGATCAATTCCGCCTTCTTTTGGGAACCTTTCCACTCTCAAACTTTTCTTGGCGCAAAAGAATTTGTTGGAGGGAAGTATTCCGGACTCACTTGGTAGCTTGAAAAGCTTAACATATGTTTCATTATCGGCAAATAAGCTAACAGGTACCATTCCTCCATCTATCTATAATATCTCATCATTGACTACTTTCGAGGCACCAAATAATCTACTTGAAGGAAGTCTTCCTCAAAATTTAGGCCTCACTTTGCCAAATATCAAAAGGCTTAATCTTTGGGGAAACCAACTAAGTGGATCGATTCCGATTTCAATATCAAATGCTTCAAAACTAGAATACCTTGACTTATCGCTGAACAATTTTTCCCCTGGAGTGCCTGTTAATTTTGGAAACCTAATGAATTTCTCGTGGTTGAGTTTATTTACAGCTGGTTTGGGAACCGGGGATGCCAATGACCTTGATTTCGTCTCCACTTTAGCCAACTGTAGCAAATTGAGTGTGATAGAATTACAAGAAAACAATTTTGGAGGTGTTTTGCCAAATTCCTTAGCCAACTTCTCAACCAAACTCCAATATTTAACTGTGGCGAAAAACAAGATATTTGGAAGCATACCAGCAGATATTGGAAATCTTGTAAGCTTAAATGCTCTAGATTTGCACTACAATCAATTGACAGGAAGAATTCCAAACTCTATCGGTAAACTTGATAAGCTTCAACAGTTGGGTTTTGGTAAAAACAAATTGTCTGGAGAAATCCCTTCCTCCATTGCAAATTTAACATTGTTGACCAAGCTTTGGTTAGAAGAAAATCATTTTCAGGGAAACATACCTTCAAGTCTTGGAAATTTCTTGGGTTTGATAGAGCTGCATCTTAATTGTAATAATTTGTCTGGTAGCTTACCACGAGAAGTAATTGGTCTCTCATCTTTGTCAATATCTTTGGACTTATCTGGAAACTGTCTAACTGGTCCTATTCCTTTGGAAGTCGGTAACTTGAGAAATCTTGTTGAACTAAATCTTTCTTACAACAAGTTATCTGGTGAAATTCCTACTAGCCTTGGTAGCTGTCATACTTTGGAATACCTTTATTTGGACAACAATGTATTAATAGGAGCCATTCCACAATCCTTGAGTTCTCTAAAGGGCGTTGAACAATTAGGTCTTTCCCATAATAACCTCACAGGTGAAATTCCTACGTTTTTAAATAGCTTTCCCTTTCTAAGCATTTTAAACCTTTCTTTCAATGATCTTGAGGGAGAGATACCAACAGGGGGAGTGTTCCAAAATGCAACTGCAATTTCAGTTTTAGGAAATAATAAGCTTTGCGGTGGTATATCTACACTACAATTGCAGTCATGTGCTTCGAAAAACGCAAGAAAGTTAATTATTCCTATAGTTAGTGGGGTATTTGGTATAATTTTTGCATTATCTGTTCTATTGCTTTGTTGGCTTAGAAAGATGAGAAAGCAATCTATTGTGGCATCTTGTTTGATGGATTCTTCTATGGATATGTCATATAGAGAGCTCTTCAAAGCAACAAATGGGTTTTCTTCAGACAACTTGATTGGTAGTGGAAGTTTTGGTTCAGTATACAAAGGAATTCTTCACCCAAATGAAAAGGCTATTGCAGTGAAGTTATTAGATCAAGAAAATAGAGGAGCTTCACGAAGTTTTATCGCTGAATGCAAAACTTTGGGAAACATCAGGCATCGAAACCTTGTCAAGATTATAAATGCTTGTGCAAGTGTTGATTTCCAAGGTAATGACTTCAAAGCCCTCATATATGAGTTTATGGAAAATGGGAGCCTTGAAAGTTGGTTGCATCCAGCTCCACAAACAAGTGTTGCCCATAAGCAACCAAGAAGTTTAAACCTTTTTCAGCGATTAAACATAGCAATTGATGTGGCTTCTGCTTTGGATTATCTTCACAACCATTGTTATAACACGATCATACATTGTGATATAAAGCCAAGCAACATTCTTCTTGACAGTGACATGACAGCCCATGTTGGTGATTTTGGTTTAGCAAGACTCCTACAACAACCCAACAATGAACTTTCAAAAAGCCAAACTAGCTTTGTTGGTATAAGAGGAACTACTGGATATGCAGCACCAGGTAATCCACCATATATGCCTATGAAAATATATTTTGTGTGATCAATATATTGAGGTGGTGTACCGATGCCTCTAACAATATCACCTCAATGTCCTGGTTACGCAAAATATCACCCCTATTTTTAAACGTACAGAAAAGCCAAGCAACATTCTTCTTGACAGTGACATGACCGCCCATGTTGGTGATTTTGGTTTAGCAAGACTCCTACAACAACCCAACAATGAACTTTCAAAAAGCCAAACTAGCTTTGTTGGTATAAGAGGAACTACTGGATATGCAGCACCAGGTAATCCACCATATATGCCTATGAAAATATATTTTGTGTGATCGATATATTGAGGTGGTGTACCGATGCCTCTAACAATATCACCTCAATGTCCTGGTTACGCAAAATATCACCCCTATTTTTAAACATATAGAAGCATTTGCAAGTATACATTAAAATTTATCATATGTGCATTGCAGAATATGGCATGGGGAGACAGGTATCCATTCATGGTGATATATATAGCTATGGAATCCTCTTGTTAGAATTGTTCACAGGAAAAAGACCCACTGATGACATGTTTATAGATGGCTTGAACCTTCACAGATTAGCCAAAATTGCTTTGCCAAAAAGTGTGATGGAGATTATTGATCAGAAACTTATATCAACTGTAAAAGAGGAGGAAACAAGCAAAGCAAATTCCAAGACACGAATAGAAAGGGAAAAATTCATTGAGTGCTTAATTCTGATACTCAGGGTTGGAGTTGAGTGCTCTGAAGAATCACCAAGAGAAAGAATAACCATTGTTGATGCGGCAAACAAACTACATTTAATTAAGGAGATGCTACTTGGGAGAAGGGTTTCCACCAATGTGCAAATTGTTGAAATCGAGTAATTTAGGTACTCTCTTTAGCTGCTGGCCCTTCAAAATTTTCTTTTCAATTATGCCATTTGCACACAAATAAATTGCAAAAAGTTTCATAAGAGAGAAACGAAGGGTTGGGGCCGCTCTTGTGAAACTTTCTGTGTTTTATTTATGTCTAAGTATACATTTTCTTTATCTTTCATATCTGATTAATTCATACATCATTAGATTGTAAGATATCTACAACAATGCTATGCAAGTTTGCTTTTTGTTTTTGTTATTTATTTATTTATTTTTTTTATCGTTGTTATGTAAGAGAATAGACTGATATATGCTTGAGTTAATTTGTCACTTGATTTTTTCTTTTGGTTAACATGCCTCGTTTGGAGAGTAATTATTTTAGTCAAAAAAATCAAAAGTTGTTATAAGTTGTCACATCACTCTCTCTATTTTTCTGTACTTCTTTTCGTAAAAAGTCAAAAAGTTACTACAATAATTTTTGGTTTAGCTTTGATTAATATCACCTTCTAGAATAATTTTGATTCATTAGACTCAAATATTCAAATAAATTGAAGAAACTGTAAAAGCTCTAGGAAGGAAGAGTCAAGAAAGAGGATACACCTATATTTCATGAAATAATGCTAGGAATAATGAATTTTGTATAAAATTTTGATATAAAATAGGGTAAATTACACCAGTGGTTCCTACATTTTGCTCTTTGTATCATTTTGGTTCCTACACTTTCAATTGGCACAATTTTGACTTTTAATTCTAAATTTTGTGTCAATTTGGTCAAATTGATAATGTCATTAGTATTTTTGACTGAAAATAATCATCTAATTGGTTGAAATTAACTCACTGATGTTAGTAAATTTATAATTTTACTTTAAAAAAATATGATGCTTATTTTTCATAAAAAAAATGTTAAGAATTGGAAGCAATTGTATCAAATTGAAACAAAATTTAGGATAAAAATCGATTCAATTAAAATTAAAGTGACCAAAATAACATAAGGACTAAGTATAAGGACTATTGTTGCAATTTATCTTATAAATAATGTGTCTGATTGTGATAATTCATAAAATTATTTTATGAGTAATGAATTTTGTATAAAATTTTAATACAAGACAATGTGGTTGACTGTGGGCTTTTTGCCTTTCATTGTAAGTCTAATCATACACCATTGTAGATTATAAATTTTGGTACTCATGCAGTCATATCATACGAAATTAGATTTTTATATAAAATTTTTGTTTGAATACCATGTCTTATATTTTTAAAAATTATCATATCTGCATGTCTGTTTATATCAAAATATACATATGTGTGTATCATATATAAATTATAACTAAGTAAGAAAGTAATATTATTTAATATTATTGGAGTCATAACTAAAAAAAAAAAATTCATAATCAAACATCATATGAGATATAATCAAAGATTTTATGAGTTATAACTAAAATAATGTTATCACTAAATAAAAAAAAATTGGTTATAACTAAAGAAAAAATGACATAACTACGGTGCATATAATGCACCCCTTTCAAGAGGTGTGTATAGTGGAATTTCCCATATAATTTTGACATAAATATATTAACTCTCTTCCAGTGATGAAAAAGTAGTGTACACTTGTTAGCAAAAATTTGATTTGAAGTAAATCTTCAGACAAAATCAGTTTTTATAAATAACAAACAAATTAGGCAATGTCGTAGATATTTTTTTGTAGTTTTAAGAATTTCTTTAGAGGTTGTAATGTAGGAAAACATAATAAAACGACCACTGAAACTTGATTAATAATACTTAAATTTGTCACTTAATTACAAGAATTAAATGACTACTATCAAGTATTACAATTGACAGGGTTACAAAAACACTAGTTATAAAAACTAACTGTTAATCTATATATATACACTTAACTACTCCTAGATATATTAAATTATTCCTAAATTTTACAAATTTTGTGAAGTGGGTTAAAAGTCGTCTCTCTTGTACCTTCCTTGGCCATATTTTCATGTGAAAATTGCCCAAAGCAGTTTTGCAAAACAATTATTCAAAGTAGTTCATAAATAAAAAATCAACCCGCAGTTCCTTGAATCAATCTACATTCATAGCATAAAATCACACTTGTTCATTTTTCAACTTGTCACCAAGGAGTGCCTAGACAACAACAATAACACCAACATAATAATAATAATAAATAAAAATGTGACCATATTTATTTGTAAAAAGATAATTTTATGATCTGAATTGAGAGATTGACAGATCACAATTAATTAGATTAGATTTGGTCAATTAATGAGTCACAATAGACATAAATTAATTTATGGTGTCAACAACACTATTAACTTTGATAATTAAATTTATTTTTTACCCTTCATAGAAGTGATCAAATTTAACATTAATGTCAAAGGGCAAAATTACTACTCTCTGTATCAAAATTAAAAGGGAAGACACTCATGTGAGGAAAAACTATTCAATGCCCCCATGTATAATTGGTGCTTTTTTTCATGTGAGAGTTATTGGAGTATTTTTGCATATTTCATGGTCCCATGTATAATTGTCAGTGTAAATTCAAACTAATTTAATTAAAAATAAAATATTTATTTTTGTGTTGAAATTGATGACATCATCATTTTTCATCAAGTTAGTTCCATTAACAGGGTGAGGGTACTCTAAGTTCGTGTTTGGATTATAGATTTGTATAGTGAATTGGAAAGACAAAGAAAAAAGTTAGGAAAATGGGGAAAAAAAAATTAATACAAACATAGCCTATGGAAGTACCATATAGTTATGTCAAAATTTTAAATTTTATATATATTTTTTTTCATGCATTTAGCACCTTGGTGTAATTTACCATTTTAAATTTTAAGAAATACAAATTATATGTAATTGTCAATAATCAGAGACATGAAAGATATAGTTTTAGAATAAAGGATGCCAACTAGACCCGGCTCAACCAGTTGCAATGATTTGAAGATCCGCGGGTCTACAAACCTAGATTAAAAAACTCAAGAAACTACCTAGAAATTGCAATCAAAGTTTGAGATTTGTTCATTATTTGGCCCACAACAATAAATTAAAAATGTTTCATTGATTTAAAATTTTAAGTAAATTTATGATCACTTTTCTTTTTTTTTTTATCCGCTCACTTTTTTTTTTTTTATATAGAGTTTTCTTTGAAGATTCTACTTAGATGTGGAATTAATAACAAATGTGGATGACTAATAAAAATCTCACTACGGGCTAAACAATTACTGTAATAAATAAAGAAAAAAAAAACCAAGAAATCCTATTTTATTTTTAAGATTATTAGTATTATTAATTTTTAATATGAACAACTAAGATCTATTTGTTATGAAATGTTCTCAAAAGGTCCATTATTTCATAATTGTGTATTTTGTCCCAATTTTACCCTTCTCATTTAATATGAACAACAATTTTATTACAGTTCAAAAGTCTAAATTCAAATTTCTTTCACTATCCAAACTATTATGTTTATAAGGACATATTTCTGCACAATAACCAAACTATCCTTATATATATATATATATATATACACTAGCATATCACCCGTGCTATACACAGGATAAAATAATATATTATTTATTAAAAAAATATGATAATTATATTTAATTTTTTTCTATTTTGCATCTCGTAAATAAAATTTTATATATAAGTTTAAAGGTTTTCTTTCAAATGTTCCTTTACTATAATATATAGTATAGATAGATTAAAATTGTTGAATTGACAATTAATAATTAAAATTATGCCTTTTTATAAAAAAAAAATGACATAATTTTAATACTTCACTATTTTAGAATGAAAATATATGAATTTTAAAAAATTATCATATTGGTTTGTGAAAGGGAAATAATTAAACAAATTTTAAAAACTTAATGAGTAAGAAAGAATTATCGTAACATGTAAAATCGCTAAAATTACGGTTAAACCAACAAATCATTCAAACAAAAAACGGTTTACTTTAATCAGTTAAGTCAAAAGACCAACTAGCTCACACAAATATTAATTAATTAATTAAAACTTTTAAATTTTATTTTATTAAAATTTAAACTATCACTAAATATGAAAAGCAATATATTAATTTAAATTTAAAATCCACGCAATATAAATTTAAAATTATAATAATCTATTTCATAATTTATGAGTTTTAAATACAAATTTAAAATTATCATAATTATGTCATAATTTTTGTATTATGGAGCAGTAAGAGTGACATTGAGATTATCAATATATTTAATAAAAAAATACTTTTAAGGAGAGATATTATGAGAGTTTCAAAATCCCATACAAAATTATTTTGAAAATAAAAATCTCTAGGTGGGATTGTAAAATAAAAGTTAAATAAGGTTAGCCAATCAAGATTTTCTTAATTGTTTAAAATTAAGAAAATCAAAAAAATTAGTATGAGATTTGATCATAAGGCTTCTCACTAAAAATCTCATTTTGTTTATATAAATGAGAGCATAAGATTCACTTTATGTAAGCGAAACAATTCACTTTTTTCTTCTTTTCTTGATGTGGAATTATAAAATAAAAGTTAAATGAAAGCTAGTCAATGGTAATTTTCTTAATTGTTTAAAAGTTAACAATTGTTTGGGCGAGAAGTTTATTTTGAGTTAAGCAATCTTAGCCATTTAATCTTTAATTAGGTCAATCTTTAATTTAATTTGAATCAGACAAATTTAACTAATATATTTTGATAAAATAGATAAAATTACAATTAAACCAACGAATCAGTCAAACCGAAAACGGTTTACCCTATCGGCTAGGTCAAAGGACCAGCCAACTTATACAAAAATTAATTAATTAATACTTTTAAATTTTCTTTTAATCTTAAAATTTAAACTGTCTTGAACTGAAACATACATAACACTAAGTGAAACAACTCATTTTTTTTCCTTATTTGCCTGACGTGGGATTGTAAAATAAAGGTTAACAGTTGTTTGGACGGGAATTTCATTTTTAATCAAGCAATCTCAATCGTTTCATTTTTAATAAGGTCAATCTTATTTTATTTCAAATCAAACAAATCTAAGTAATATATTTTGATAAAAACAGCTAAAACTGCAGTTAAACAGTGAATCAGTCAAATCGAAAACGATTTAGTCTAATTGGCTAAGTCAAAAGACCAACCAATTTACAATAAAATTAATTAATTAAAAACTTTAAATTTTATTTTGAAATTTAAACAATCTTAAACACGCACAACACTATAGTATTAAATGAGAGTATAAGATTCACTTTATATAAGTGAAACAACTCACTTTTTTTTTTTCGAGATATAGGATTGT